GAAAAAGGAGGATTTTTCAAAAATGAAACTTAAACCTCATCATGTCCTCGTTTGTTGTGGACTTGTGCTGATGGTCAAATTTTCTCAAAACTTTTTTCCTATTGTAAAAACAAGCATATGACTCCCTCATTGCCATTGTTGAACCTGTTTCCAGGTATCATTCTAATCAATATACTGTGATTATATGTGGCACGTGTTTGACCCATTGCTTACAAACTACGATACAAAAATTGAGAGTTGATAGCTCATAGCAGTAATACTCTACTACAAAGGGTAAAAATAAAAGGATTACTGGCTCTGTAGTTGTTGTACTTAGAAGAGAGGTACAATTGATATTGAGCTACTAGACTTGCATAGTTGAACTAGCAGGTTTATTGAATTCGAATGTGATTTTTATTTTTCTATTTTCTATTTTAGATCTCAAGTCAATGCATGAGTACAATTTCACGCTACACTATATATGTCACAGTGGGAATGTTTGTACCTACCATAAAAGGGACATGGTATTGATGAACAACAGCAAAAATGGTTGTCATTGACCTATAAAGTGCAAAAAATTTGTTGATAGGCACAAACTGAACTTGGTCATGGCTCTAACATACAAGGTCTTGAAACCACTATAACATTTGACCCTAAAACTAATGAATCCGTAGTTCATACTCTGACATTGACTTCGAGTGAAGTAAGCAACATGATAGATAAGAGGTTGGTAATGTTTCATTTTCTTGTTAAGAATCGAGAAAGATGCTTTGTCACTACACATTTGGTTATTGTACTACAGTTGTTTTCTTATCTACTTATGTTTCTAATTTCTTATACTATATTTTATGTTTATTCATTGAATTCCTCAAATTTGTTCTCTATTCTCTGTCTTATTTTTTGAATAGTGGTGGCCTGATGGACTAGGTAAATTGTCCACCCATGCAGTTGTTTATGCATGCCATTACATATGGTAAAGACCATGGAGTTTCATGGTAAGAGTATATAGCCTCTATTGACATTAATATCCAATTTTGTTCTTGGACATGTTAGTCGAAGTATTCATATTATTTAGGCTTTATTGTCCAACTACAGAACTTGGAGGACCACACTCTTCCTGGAATCACCCTTGGTCATATTGAATCAAAAATTGGAAATGGAGCATACAACACCATGGACAATGGTGTGTTAAATATTTAAACATGTACATATTCCGAGAGACCAAATCTTGATGTTGTATGTCGCCATTCAAACTTAAGTATACCGATTTATTTTGCATTTACACTTTATCATTTTGAATTAAGGATAGTTTTTCAACATTTATGATGCTAGTACTTCGTGGTGGTATTGGTTTTTGAAGCATGCTGTTTGTTAGATGTTTATTGTTAAAATCTTGAAATTTTTTGCCACAAGCACAAATGCCAAAACCTCGGAATTTGAGAATTTGAAGCATTTATATTTAACACGTCAACATTACCTTAAAAGCAACAAAGCCCGTGCAAACTAGTCTATTGAAAGAAAATATAATGAATGGATTTTAATATTAAAATACACCAACACAAAGTTTCATAAAATTTCAAATTTGAAATTTGACCTTTTCTTAATAGGTTTTATTATACAATTTATAAATCCCGTTTTCCCCAATATGCCCCAGTCCTTTAAGCGAAGTTTTGATTGGGTCAATAATCTGTCTAAACTTGATCATTTAACTTCAATTTTGTTTCAATTGGGTTATTAAAGTTCAATTCAACTTAAAATTTTATTCCGTGACATGTCAACTTACCAAATGCCTATATAAAAATGTTACGTTTATAACATTTTAATGAAAAAATATATCCCTAATTATACCATTTTTTATTTCTAGGGTGTCAAGTAAGGATTACATGGAATATCAGTTACGATATGGTTGTCAGTCAAGCAATTTTGTTTTTAATTTGAAGAACAATAGATGAAAGAATGTGACAAATTGGTGAAATACACACACACATATATGTGTGTGTCTCTGTGTGTGTACACACACACATATAGGTGATTTGGTAGTTCAATTAATCTACTCCAGACAAAGACTGCGGATTACATTAACCTTTAAAAATATAGTTGATCATCGCATCCACTAATTCGAGTCGAATTGATTGAAGGAATTATGTCTCTAATTACTTTCACAGTTTCAAATTTATTGTAATTCATTTTGTATTCCACAAACACTGTTTTTTATTGAATACAGATTGGTGATAAAACACAAATTTTCTTGGTATGTGGTTTTGTATGGTGATTTTGGTGTGTAGCGTTCAGGGCGAAGCCAAAAATGATGTTAGGATGGGCTAAAATTTAAAATATTTGAACGAACTCACGTCAGAAGAGGCTAAACTTATGACAATCACAACAAAGAGTGTACAACACTCAATGAAATAAAAGAATTCTGAATTTTTCACCCTAAGATGTCCCACTAAATCTTTTTGTATATTCTTTACCAAATAAAATATTGACGCTTACTTAAAATATAAACTAACCAAACTATGATCAAAATAATCAAATGATACATATCGACCAATGAAAAATTAAGAAATTATTTAATAAATACTATTCTAAATAAATTTGACGACCAATACTTTCAGACAACTGAAAGCTTTGGTCAAAACATGCAATCAATAATATATCACTATATTCCCTCACGATGCTCCAGGGGCAAAACGGTGGGAGCCCTCAAAATTAGAGTTCAACCTTTTAATAATACATCACTATATGTTATTGTCATAAAATACTATTTGGTATGGAACAATATTCTATATCACTCCATTTCGTAATGAGTGAGAAATCACATCTAAAGAGTAAAATCGACTAAGAACTATGAAGGTCCAAAGAAATTAAATTTAATTCGTGTCTATATTTTGCTCTGTTTCAAGAATATTCTTATAAGTAGATTAGTTTAGAAATAAATAAATTTCAAAAAATATTCTTTTTATTGACAACATCAAATTTAGATCAAGTTATTTAATTTGATTATAACATCTATTTCATGGTCAAAATAATTTTTTTTTCTTGTAAGTAGGAAAAGGTAATATATGAAAACATATGTAGAAATGAAAAATTAATTACTTTTAATCTTAACAAAACATGCGTTAGTGTCTCTAATTATTAAATTAAGTACCTTTTTATATCTAATCAATAGAAATTTTCTATTATAAAATTTACCTAATTACCATAGTAAATTTATTCAAACATGCATTAACTAAAATGCCTAATTTAAAAATAAGATATTCACGCTTCATAAATTTCATGAAAATAGTATTTAATAATTGTAACCTCTTCGACAAGATTTGATTAATTAAGCATTAACCTTGAGTTAGAATTCAAATTAGAGTTGGATTAATACAAATATTTAGACCAAAATCAAATAAATTACTAGTGGATTGTAATATGAACTTCCATTTCTACTTAGTGTATCTACAAGCTGGTCATTGTATACTGGTTGTCCTTGAATTTTAGCTTCATTAAGGGCCTGTTTGAGCCACATTATTTCAAAAAAATACATTCTTAAACAATGATTTGACATCATTTCAACCACACATTCTTTAATAAAATAATATTACACGTAGATTCCTTATTTTTTAATTACACATTTCACATCAATACACTATTCAAGAATGCATTATTATCAAAATAATGTAGCTCAAACACTCCCTAATTAAAAGTAATAAAAAAAAATTGGATGAAGTTGTTTTGCTGCATACTCCATTGTGCTTATTTCCTCACCCTCTTTAGGTGCAAGGATACAGCAAAATACCAGCCCTCAATGAAGACAAACCTCGTTAGCTACTCGCTCAAGTACCTCACCAAGACCTATCTCGATAAGTTGTCATCCAGTTATTATTCTTGGGTAGCTTTCTTGCTAATTTATGATACATCTTACAAAAAGAATAAAAGAGATTTAAAGTTAAACGAAAGTACTAGAGACTGAGTATACCATATGGGCTAGGGAATTGGGAAAGGTAGTGATGGTGGTGCTAAGGTTTAGGAAAGGTAGTGGTGGTGGTGATATCGACCATTTATAATCATGGTATAGCTGGTGGTGTAACAGTGTTACACAGTTATGATGGTGGTGGCACTAGTCTACTTATTATAATAGCGGAAGTGGGTTGTAAGATTGTGTGTTATGGTAAACATAGTGGTGGCGGTGGTTTGGTGACGACGACAATGAACCTGTTTGAGAGTGATTTTGAGAATAGATTTTTTGACAGTTAGGAGAAAAGTGGGATTCACCTGTGAGAGAAGAAGTCAAATATGCCGGCTGGAATAGTAAAATAACGATCAAAAAATTAATTTTTTGGGCAAAAAAATCACTCCTAAACAGGCTGAAAGTAATATTTAATATTAAAGTGATAGCGGTGTAATAATAAATATTAAGAACAATGGTGATAGTTGTGATGTAAAAATAAATGTTACAAGTGGTAGAGGTTGCAGGGACTACGATGATGATGGAAATGGATGACAGAATGTGTATAACACATTGTGTTACAATTGGGGACGACTATAGCAATGAAAACAGGTGGTGAAATGTGCATAATATGATATAACACAATATAACATTGTTTTACAAGATATATTGTAAAAAGATGATAAAAGAATATTTCGAGAATAAGAACCGATTAAAAGTGTATTTGAAATTAATAGATAAATTAGTGTATCTTTGAATTGTTCTTGATTCTTGTTTGGCATTCGTTTCTTCAAATTTATTTTTAATCATATATTTCTTGAAATTCATCATATTTATCAACTTCTCAATTACACATTACATTAAATTTTATCAAAATCTACTAAAATTTAATTATAATCCTAATCAAACAGGGCTTAATTGAATTATGGGGAGGTTGAGTTAATCAAATAGGCCTTTTTTGGACATTTTATGTGTTTGAGTTAATCAAGTAGGCCTTCTAAGGACATTTTATGGTAACGCTCCATTAAGTACCGAAGACACATTCTTAATTAAAAAATTCAAAATGGTTCTTGAATTCCAAGTTTCACCCCTTTCGAGAATCAACAAATCATCACAACTAACACCGTCACATGAAATTTCCCAGTTAAAACATCTTTTCAAATTTCTTTCTCTGTTCTTCACCAGTTTTATAATACCTTAATCCAAGCGTAAGTAATAATGTCCTGGTTGGCTCGCTCAATTGCCAACAGTCTCCATCTCGATGAGGATGCCGATTTGGTTGCTCAAAATGACAGTGCACCACTGACCCACCCTGAAGATGGCGGAAGACCCGGAGATCAATACCCAGAAAATATAATTTCCAAAGACGAAGGAGAACGGTATGTGGAAGATCGATCGTTATATGCTAATGACGATGATAATGATAATGATGATGATGATGATGGTAGTCGTAATAATCTACATGGGCTGAAAGAGGATCTATCAGAATTTAAAGAGCAATTTACGCGTCAATTACGGGGTGTGGCTTCATTTCTGGCTCCTCCTCCACCTCCGCTGCCGAGGCAGAAATTGGGGTTGTGCTCTGAATCGAAATTGAAGAAGGAAGGATTGGAGTATGAGGAGGAGGAGGGAGAATTGGAGGAATGTGGTGAAGGCGAGCCTGGGCAGTTTGGAGATCATTCGAATTTATTACAATCAAAGGATTACTATAGGCCAGAAGACGCGGTGGGGATAACGGAGGAAGTTTTGGCCTTTGCGAGGAATATTGCGCATCATCCTGAGACCTGGTTGGATTTTCCTTTATCAGATGAAGAAGAATTTGATGGTACATAAATTTGATATGCGCTCCCTTTTCAGTTATATGCCTGGTTCTGGTTCTGATGATTTCCAGTTTTGATTCATTATGCTTGGTTGTGATTTTGTGTTGTGTTGTGTTTGTGTTCAAATTTATGCTGAAGTAAATATTGAAATTCTCTTAATGAGCCATAAAGAGTGCAATTTGAGCAATTTATATCTTTTGTGCGAGATTTGGTCTGGAAGCCAATGAAAATGATACAATAGACAATGCCGTGAAACCGTAATTGGGATTAAAGAGTAAGCATTGGAGTTAGCAAGGAATGATATATATCATTTTGAGACTGGTTCAAATTTCCGCTATCTGAGGATATAATTTGATGGGGTGTCAAGGAATTTTTTTCAATTCATTATATCTAGGTTATGAATTATGCATGTTGGATAAATAGTTAATCCTAGGAGAGAATTTTTATGATGGCAGTTATCCGACGTTATGTCCATCCATCCAGTTATGTCCGGGTCAAATAATTTTATTTGCAGTGAAGCAACGGATAGAAAGATTTTGGTGCACTCTCTATATTATGTGTATTTTCTTTTCAAATAACAGAAATTGATATTGATGGTATTCTGGGTGGCATTTGAAGGTCTCACTTTCATGTTGAAGTACTAGTCTTTACTCTTAAGCATAGTTTTCAGGAATATAGAGCCACAAGACGTAGTTTAACGTCTATAACTTTTTCTAATGTCTAATTTACGAACCTCAACTCATGATAAATGGGATTGACCTGATGGTCATTTTGAAAGGAGTTGTCTGTTTACAAGTTGGAATTTCTAAGAGATGGAATCACTTTCCCATTCTATATTTTAGCAGAGACTAGAACTCTTCACATTGCCCTGTTATACTCGATAAACATCAGTTTTTTTTTCTTTTGCCTTGCTGATATTCATAAATTGTAGCCTGTGGTTAGGATGTGGGATGTGATTACTCTCAAGGTCAATTTCTTCGTTGCTTTAAATAGTTTTGATTATATATCTGGAGAATTTTCATTTCATTATTATAGGTAAGAGAACTAAAAGAGGGTCCATCCTTTGCACCTTTGCACAGTGAAAATTGCAAATAACCCATCTCATGGAAAACCTGTACTAAAGTCAAAATTTATGAATGAGAGGTCGGACATTCTTCTTGATAATAAGCCCTTATATGAATTTGCATCCTGGCTCCTCAATTCACATCATCGAAACATTGAGAACTGTCACCTTGACATCCACAATGTTTGGTTCTCCTTGAAAATCATCTCTTGGTTGCCCTGCTTCTTAGCTAATGGTCTCCACCTCCACAATAATTTCAACAAGGACTTGTTATGACAAAGAGATCTATCATTAGAAATAGAGAACAACCAATGAAGAGTAAAAGAACACTATTTAGAAATCATTTATTGAAATGACAATACTTACTTCAATGATTGTTAATTCTTCCTATTGCTTGCCTCCCCTTCTTAATCATCACCTCAGTCCTGTGGACCTTAACTACTGAACCTTTATCATGAGGATCTCAAGGTATTCAACATCAATTGTCTCCTCCTCTCAGATCCTGTAATCTCACCTTCATTGGTGTATTGGCCCCTCTATTTACTATCTTGATATCATATAACTATCATTATTTTTGGACTAATTCATTGCTTCTTTTCTATGACATTGAGGCTCTCCCAGATCAATAACCCAACTTTGGAATCCTCCTTTTCTAGTACAGCGGGAACTTTACTTTTTAAACACCCTGGCCAGCAATCTCAATGTGTTTGTCTTCCCCAATATCTGAGTCTGCTGTCATTGAGTCTGACCTTCTTAGTAAAGTTGGAAAAACTCCACACACTGCATTCTATTCCCTATCATGTGTTGGACGGCATTACTATATGGTTAGCTATATATTAATTGGATGTCTGTCTTTTTGAGAGCAGATGTCCATCTTTATGATAGCATGTTGTCTGCATCATTGATCACTCCCCTTGCTTGTAACAGTCTTACTTTGTGTACTGTAGTTCTAATGAATGTGGAACAATCGATACACAAAAAGTACATGAAGAAGTTCGTCGCATAGATTATTAGAATTTCCATCACTTTCGACTTTTTTTCCATCATCACTTTCATATGGTTATAACTTTCTTCCCTGACAGAAAATACTTGAGCCGAAGTTTGATTATAAGATTTAATGGAGTTTTGTAGTGGTGATACACCAATATTTTATGTTGTTCAGTTTACTATTACTGCATGGACAATGGACACTCCTACTGGGTTGATGTGTCCAATAGGTGCCAGAGCACTTGTGCATCTAATATTTCTAATAGTTTTGAATTTTAACAGTTGACTGTCACTTCTAGAACACTTCATGTGGCATATCATAAATTATTCTTATTCTTTTATAAAATGAAAATAATGTCCTGGACACTTCAAGGATACAATATGCTCAATTAGTAAATTTTGGTTTATAAAATTGGGGGAATTTTAATTACTAGAACAATTTTGTAAAAAATTCAAAATAACGAAAGAGGAATTTTACGAACAACAAGTTGAATTTGTTTTATATACAGAATATGCATTTTTTTCTCTGGCAGTAGTAATATATAGTTTAACCAAAATAATCTTAATGCAACAACTAGCCACTCATCTGATTTAAAAGTTTTTACCAACAAGAATTAAAGTTAAAGATCGTATTGATTCTATTAAAAGATAAACAGTACAAAAACAAAGATATAAATGTACAATTGTAAATAATTTAAATCGATGTGTCCCCCCATGTCTCCATGTCCTACTCTGAAAATCATATGTCAGGATCTCTAAGTCGTGTCTGTGTCCTTGTCCGTGCTTCTTAGCTAGTATTTGTACATGTGTATGATGCATTGTATTGCTTCCAGTGAGAAATTTTGATGAAAACCTCTTGATTAATCTTTGTTAATTTTTTTGTAGGAGAAAATTGTTATGTCAATTATATTTCTAACTATTGTTTCTTTTCAGATTTCGATCTATCTAATGCTCAGGTCAAGCATGCATTGGGTGTTGAACATCTAGCACAAAGATTAGCTGCTCTTAGATATGAACTTTGCCCTGCCCATATGAGTGAGGGTTACTTTTGGATGGTCTATTTTGTTCTTCTGCACTCAAGATTAAGTAAACATGATGCTGACCTTTTGTCTACACCGCAGGTGAGCAAGTACTGCTCATTATCGTCTTTGTTGTGCTTTTCTATTTTTTTGTATGGCAAACTGATTTTATACATCTTGAATGAGATCTGCTAATAGTTGGATTATAATTTTCAATTTTCCTATACATCATATTTAGTTGAGATGCCTTAGTTTTCTGCCCAAAACATCCTTCATAGTAAGATTTACTAGACAGCATGACACAGTACCACATAACATTAAATTAGAATTGCTAAAATTGATGAGAATTGAGAGAGGAGATGAAAGCATTTCTTTATTCATTAAGCAAGTTAGTCCAATACAAAAATATTAACCCTCTATATAAAACGTTTGACAATTTGAAGCTTCTGTGTTGTACTTCAATAACAATTTCAATAGTACTCTTCAAAATAATTTGCTGGTATTAGATTTTGGCACACTTCAACATGTTTAATGTCAATCTTTAAAACAGTTTTAAGCCTTAACTGTGTTCTGAACCTGATTTGAGATTGAAGGTACTAGAGTGTTTTTACCTGACAAAGAACCTGGCATCATACTATATTGTTTGTCATGGATTGCTACTTCATTATTGTTTTGCCAATGCAGCTCGTGGAAGCTAGAGCTATGTGGATGCAAGAGCTACAAAAGCGAACAAAGGCCGAGTCTGATTGGTTTGGAAGTAGTGCATTTTATTCAAAAGAAAGTGTGGATTCACCGCATGAGATTTTTTCAGCATCCTCGTATGAAGACGCTCATTATGGGAATATGTCAGGCAGGATGGTTCCTTTTGATTCAATGGCATGCCAAGCAACAAATGATTGTGAGATAGAAAAACACCCTCTTGAAAGTAATGAAATCGAGTTCATCGACAAGTCTGTTATTGAAGAAGACCCCGCAAGTAAACCTGTGGAAAAGGAGACAGTCGGTCCATCAATCGAATTGCAAGTCCAGGATTATAACAAGGATTATGATGATGACGATGATTGGCTAAAGGAAGACCCCGACTTAGTTGAGTGCTCTGGCACGACAATTTTCGGAAATGGGGAAGACGTATCGTTCAGTGATCTTGAGGATGATATTGATTGCACTATGCCTGCGAATTACAAAATAGTCTCCAGTGATGAGAATAAACCAACCAAAACTTAATGAGTGTGGAGGTGTCTGATATTTCCTGGGTTGATCTGCGTCTTGGTCACCTTTTGGGACTCGGAGAACCCAAAGATCTGTATGATGCTTGCAGGGATGACTCATGAGTTGCCTTTGCAAGATTGGAAGTGTTAGAATTCTCACTGAGTTTGCTTGAAGAGCTCGCGAGGACTGTAAATAAGACACATGGAGGTTTGCTCTTGTAAGAATGTTGCTGGTTTAAACAACCCCTACCTCAGGGTGCTGAAGTTTCCAACAATCAAGAATGTACCGTCGAAAATTTTAATAATGCGATTTTTTCTGATTCGTTGAGGTTCAGGAATGCTACAGAGAAGGAAATCTTTGGTCATTTTTTCTTGTTTTTTCCCCCTCCCAAATACTGCTGATTGAAATGAACCATCCAATTACATGCTTGCAAGGACAGAGATTCTGCTTATAGTCTTCTTTCAACCTATATCTTCTGTTTTGAGTCACTGTTTGATAGTGAAAGAATAAATGATTGTTTGAGTTTGCATATGTTGACGTAGGGATGTCAATTCAGCTCGTCAATTCGAGTGGTCCTTGGCTCAGCCAAAAAAAAAAGAAATCGAGCCGGCTTTGCTCGTGGCTTGTTGGAACCGAGCAGAGACTCAGGCTAAGCCTCATTTCAAGTGTCAGGCTTGAAAATAAAATAAAGGCAGCCAAAAAAAAATAAAAAAAATTAGAATTTCAGGAGGGAAAAAAAAAAAAAAGGAGTCGAGCACAAATTTTTCGAGCCCGTTTACATCCCTATGGTCATATGAAACTTGCTAAGCAATTATTCAGCTTTTATGGAGTTGTAAATCATCTTTTATGGATGTAGAAAATATTGCTATTTATTTTTCCTATCAAACAATGCACGTTTTGATGGTATATTATGTTTGGAAGAGATACACCACTAATAAATTATAAGAATAGCATTTCATAACTAACGAAGTTTCAAAATTCAGGTGATAAATGTAGTATAATAATATATAACATAGAAATGACATAATTTAATTTAAGATAATATATACCTTAAAATAGATCCTAAAAAATAGGAAATATTTATTTTCACTCTCCAGCCACAATCAAACATTGTTTGTCTCTCTATAATCCCAATTCCCAAATTCTCTCCTGAATCACCATAATATCCCCACAAATCGTTGGTTGGCCACGAAATCACTATTCAACATTTGAAGTTACAATGGCCCCCAGGGCACATCTCCAAGTGGTAAAAGGGGAGAGTGGAGAAATCCAGCTTTACTTGAGGCTGATGCGTCAAGAGTTCGAATCCTGAAATATGGATTTGGCTCTTGAGTAAGTGCAAGTGTACAAATAGCCTTCCACCTTGTACCTTTGGAGGCATAATTTGCGACTTACCTCTCTCACGATACTCCAGGATAGGGGCAGTGGGGGACCCTTAAGGTTGGGGTTCAACCTTTAACATTTGAAGTTACAATGCAAACGAAAACTTTTTGAAATTCATTCATTTGGCGAAGCTATAGCTTATTGTTAGATTGATTGAATTTTCCGTAAGCACATACTTTTAATCCGTCTCTTTCGGTCACAGAGCAAATCGATTGCAATTATATTTGCATTCAAACAACATATATCAAGGTACGCATTTGTAATCTTTTTTTTTTTTTTGAATTTTATGATATGTGCTTCTAACCATGACCAATGGGTGTACTTTTGTGAAATTATGTAAGAATTTTGTCCAATTTGAAGGTTTGATAGAGGATAGGGCTGTTAACTAGTACAGTCAAACCGGTTCACAAGTCGAAATTCGAGGCTCGAACTCGACTCGATTAAAATGATCGAACTTTTTTCGAGCCCGAGTCGGGCCGAGCAAAAGCTCAGTCAAAAAAATTAGACTCAACCTGAGTTTTAGCTCAGTTCTCTCGAGCCTTGAGCGGGGCGGGCTCGAGTTTTTTTCCGATTCGAGCCACGGACGATACGAGCCGACGAGCCCAATTGCCATCCCTAGTAGAGGATGTAAATTATGGTTTTATATTGTTTTGCGACTAGAAATTGGAACGTAGTAGTTTATGAGCTTTCGCCCTCTGCTCTAATTGCTTCGAATGATTATACATGGATTGATTGTATACCGTTTGTATATAGCCAATGATTCACGGTATGTAATGACTGTTCGGTTTCAAAAAATGTGTTCTTATTTTTTGTTTTATTAATTACAATACACTCTTATTTTTATTTTAATCAAAATATCACAATATCTACTGTGTCTATGTTTTTTGTTTGACGTAACATTCAATTTTTGCGAAGCAAAGGTAATAGCACCCGCGATGGCTTGGTGTGGGCTCGGAGACTGGGAAGCATATTGTTGCTTATCTTTTTTATTTAAATGAACAAATTTGTCTTTTTACATAATTATAATGGTCAAACATTAAGAATAAATCTTTTAAATACGAAATCTATCGATCTATTAAAGATGGTGACAAGATCGAGATATATAATTTATGCAAATAAATATTTGTCAATAATACTTAAAATACAATTATTTAATTTTTGATAACTATAGTTGTTAGAAAATCAAATTAGATCCAAATATAAATTAAATCCTAGGATCAACATCATGCTAAATTACTAGGATTCACAGATTCAGATAATATACCTGTATCCATTATAAACGATTGCCTACTGTTGCGGAATTACTGCGACAATCGACTACGTACCGATGAATGCAAATGAAGAGGGTGGTTTTGTGATCTTCCTCAACCAAATCTCCTTATTCCTCAATGGGACCATGATTTCTCTTCTTGATGGGGAGAAGGGAAAAGAGTGTATGATTTGGTATCTTGAGGACCATAACCAAAATAACCTTTATATACTTCTTAATTAAGGTTCCCATTATCCCTTAATTAGAGTAATATTAGCCGGTATCTACTCACTTAGTCCATATTAATTTGAGTAGTCTATGGGCATACAAAAAATATACCACTTGATTTTTGCCCATTATATTAAATAGCTAATATAATTGTATTAATATGTTGCCAATATTAATTTAGGAAAATCGTGTTTTTCTAACAATCTCCCACTTGGCTACATATTATTCCTTAAACAATTATATTACAAAACTCCTTCGACGCGCATCTGTATGCTATTTATCATTAGACTGCTCCTTAAACAATCTTGTCCATCTCATATACTAATAATGGAACCACCGCAACTTTCATCACAATACATTAGTGATTAAACCACGATGATCAACATATTAATACACTTAATGACATAGATCAAATATGGATGAGTAGCATGGAAATTTACATGAAATGTGATCTCAAACATGCCTATTTCCAACTGGTCCTTCTTTAGTCTTTAGTGAGATCATTCCAAAGTCCTTAATGCAATGCAAACGTTGCACAATGAAAACACAAGCAAACTCAGAAATAGAATCATAGACCATCAACTTTATTCTGCTGAAGGTTAAATAATTTAATGTCTAAAGCAAACATATAGAACATAAAATTGACTCCCACTAGACTAGAATATCCTCGGAAATAACGCCCATGTGAGCAGTGTGCTCATGAAAGACCTTCGGCGTTAAGCCATTGGTTAGTGGGTCCGCTAGCATGGAATTTGTTCCTATATGTTCTATGGAAATCTGTTTATCTTGAACTCTCTCCTTAACAACTAGAAACTTGATATCAATGAATTTCGACTTTGTCGAACTCCTATTGTTGTTGGAGTAAAGCACCGCTGAGTTATTGTCACAACAAATCTTTAATGGCCTGTCAATGTCATCTACCACTCGTAGTCCAGTGACAAAGTTTCGTAGCCATATTCCATGGTTGGATGCCTCATAATAAGCAATGAACTCCGCAGCCATAGTTGAAGAAGCTATGAGAGTCTGTTTAGCAGACTTCCATGAGATAGCTCCTCCAGCCAACATAAAGACGTAGCCTGATGTGCAGCGTCTGCTATCTTGGCATCCCGCAAAATCGGAGTCAGAGAACCCGATGATCTCTAAACTATCTGATCTCCGATAAGTGAGCATGTAGTCTTTTGTTCTCCTCAAATAACGCATCACGCGTTTGGCTGCTTTCCAATGTTGCATGTCAGGATCACTCAAGTATGTACCCAAAACTCCCACTATAAATGCTATGTCGGGACGAGTACAAATTAGAGCGTACATTAGACTCCCTATCACTGATGCGTAGGGAATCTTCTGCATCTCTTCTCTTTCAAGATCATTATTGGGGCACTGTTTGAGACTAAACTTGTCTCCTTTAGAGATGGGCGTGTCTCCTGGTCTACTATCTTTCATGCCAAATCTACTCAAAACCTTATCGATATAGCTCTTTTGTGAAAGTCCAAGGATACCTCGAGAACGATCTCTCAGTATCTGAATACCTAATACAAAAGAGGCATTCCCAAGATCTTTCATCTCGAATTTCTTTGTCAGAAATTTCTTGGTTTCATGCAATAAGCCTATATCGCTGCTAGCGAGTAGAATATCATCAACATATAGTACCAAGAAGATATATTTACTCCCACTGAACTTATGATATACACAGTCATCAACAACATTTGCCTCAAAACCGTACGAGGTAATGATTTGATGGAACTTGTGATACCATTGACGGGAAGCTTGTTTGAGACCGTAGATGGATTTCTTCAACTTACAAACCATAGACTTTGGATCTCCTGATACAAAGGTTTCTGGTTGTACCATGTAAATCGTCTCATCAATGTCTCCATTGAGAAACGCAGTCTTGACATCCATCTGATGTAGCTCTAGATCAAAATGAGCCACTAGTGCCATTATTGTTCTAAAAGAGTCTTTCGAAGATACCGGAGAGAAAGTCTCTTTGTAGTCTATGCCTTCCTTTTGAGTAAAGCCTTTAGCGACTAGACGAGCTTTATATCTCTCGACACTGCCTCTTGAATCCCTCTTGGTTTTAAATATCCACTTACAACCAATGGACTTCACACCTTTAGGCAACTTGATGAGATCCCAAACGTCATTATCTTTCATAGACTTTATCTCATCTTTCATGGCATCAATCCACTTCTGAGAGTTAGAACTGCGCATGGCTTGATGGAAGTTGATCGGGTCATCCTCTGTTAAACCAACGCCATCCTCATGTTCTTGAAGAAAGACGATATAATTATCTGAAATCGCATTTCTTCTCTCCCTAGTGGATCTCCTTAATAGCACTTCTTGAGGTTGTTGAGTTTGTTCTATAGGTGGTGCTTGAGAAAGAATCTCATTGTTGTCTTGGTCTGAAACAATGTCGGGAATAGGAGCCTGAACATTGTCATCTATTGCCAGAACTATGTCTTGAACAACAATAGGTACAGAGACCTGATTGCTGTCAATAACAAATT